AACATTTCGTATCTTGATGCAAAAAAACCTTTTGCAAATGAGGTTTCAAGTCCAGTCAATATGACATACTCTGTTGCTGTCACTCGTCCCGTATCAACATCATCAGTTACATGCCAGACAGATTTGACATGGGTGAAGTCGGAGAAACCCACCACATCAACTTCAGTTGTATCACTCCCTCTCCCAGTAACTCAGTCTTCTTCTGGATCTCAGACTGAGAATCAGCCAGAGAACCAGCCTCTGAATGAGCCTGAGACATCACCTCAAACACCGGACAAACAGCAAAGTTCAAGTCAATCAATTAAAAAGAAAGGAAAAAAGTACAATCGGAAACAAACAACTGCCGTCCCTTTACCTTCAGAGCTTCCTCTGGAGAACCCTTTTTGGACCTCTAGATATGGAGGTCACTCCGTCCTCACAGGACAGGCGGAGGAACAGTTCCTCCTCACATTCACGAGGGCGATCACCAATTGAGCCACCATGACTCAATTGCCCAATCTAATTCAATGGAATTGCAGAGGTCTTAAAAATAACTTTAATGAAATACAATTATTGATACAGGACTTTCATCCATCAGCATTTTGTTTTCAAGAAACTTTTCTTAAAAATACAGATACGTTAAACTTAAGACAATACAGTGAATATCATTTCTTTTCCCCTCCAGGAGATAGAGCAACTGGGGGTGTTTCTATTTTGGTGCGGCAGGGTATTATACATAGCCCTGTCCCTCTTAATACCAATCTGCAAGCTGTAGCTGTTCGTCTCACTTTACACATTGCGTTGACGCTGTGCAGCTTGTATATCCCACCGTCTTCTGATATCCGACTGTCAGATCTGCAAAAACTGTATGATCAGCTTCCAAAACCATGTATCATCATGGGTGATCTGAACGGACACAACCCGCTTTGGGGAAGTGCCCATACTAATAATAAAGGTAAAATCATCGAGGAATTCATTTCTGATAATGATTTATGTATCTGCAATGACGATTCAGCCACTTATTTACATCCCGCTACGGGAACATATTCTTCCCTGGATCTATCACTTGTTGACTCCATTTTATATAATGAATTTGAATGGATGGTCCATGATGACCTATGTGGGAGTGATCACTTCCCAACCATTCTTAAAACAATACGCCCTGGAGATGATCCACCTTTATCCAGAAGGAACTTTGCCAGGGCTGATTGGTCATTATATAATACACTATGTAATGATAACTTAAAACATGATGTTTTTTGCGAACAGCGAAGATCCTATACAGTTGTTTTCCGATATACTAAATGACATTGCTGATCAAAGTATACCCAAGTCCTCTGCAATTCCCCATATTCGTAAACCATGGTTTAATAATGACTGTAAACTGGCCAGAAAAAGTAGGAAGAAAGCAGAAAAATATTTCCGCCGACATCCTACTGTACATAATTTAGATAAAGTAAAAATTTTAAATGCTAAGGCTCGACGCGCATTTAAGCAGAACAAGCGTCAGTCTTGGAGGAAGTATGTTTCCCAAGATAAATTCCCGTACACCAATTTCGAAGGTATGGAACATGATACAAAGAATAAAGGGCAAAGGTTCCAAATCTACCGTTCATCATTTGAAGGACGGTGATAATTTATTGACTAATAAACCTGATATTGCAAATAAACTTGGTGAAACTCTTGCCAAGCATTCATCTTCATCTAATTATGTCCCTGAGTTTCAAAAGTATCAGAAACAACAGGAGAAGAAAAGAATAAATTTTAACTCAGACAATGGTGAAGATTATAACGAACTATTTTCGTTACATGAGCTCCATACTGCACTTGAGCAAGCTCATGATACAGCAACAGGAGCTGATAATATTCACTATCAGCTCTTGAAGCATTTACCCGAATCATGTTTAGAAATCCTTTTAGAAATTTTTGATCAAATATGGACTTCAGGGAATTTCCCAACTTCGTGGCGTGATGCCATTGTTGTTCCTATTCCAAAGCCTGGCCGGGATCATACTGATCCATCTAATTACAGACCAATCTCTTTAACGAGTTGTGTCTGTAAAACCATGGAACGAATAGTCAATAATAGATTAACATGGTATCTTGAAACCAATAACCTTATAACTAACATTCAATGTGGTTTCAGGAAAAATCGTAGTACCATTGATCATTTGGTACGTTTAGAATCCTTTGTAAAAAATGCAATAGTTAATAAACAACATGCTGTATCAATTTTCTTTGATCTTGAGAAAGCATACGATACCACCTGGAAGCATGGCATTTTAAAGGATTTACATGATTTTGGGTTGAGGGGTCGTTTACCTCTTTTTATATCACAGTTTTTAAAAGACAGGCAATTTCAAGTCCGAGTGGGTTCAACCCTGTCTGACCATTATAATCAGGATCAAGGTGTCCCGCAAGGTAGTATTTTGTCTGTAACATTGTTTAGTATTAAGATCAACAGTTTATCCAAGGTTTTAAATGATTCAATCGATGGCTCACTTTTTGTGGATGATTTTAACATTTCTTGTCGCGTTAAGAATATGCATACTATTGAACGGCAACTACAGTTGTGTTTAAACAAAATAAATAAATGGTGTCTTGAAAACGGCTTTAAATTTTCCAAGTCCAAAACTAATTGTCTACACTTCTGTAGAAAATATAAGCCACATAAAGATCCAGAACTATCTCTAAATGGCACTCCCATCAAGGTTGTAAAAGAGGCCAAATTCTTGGGTCTGATTTTCGACTCCCATTTAACCTTTCTTCCGCATATTAAATCCCTAAAAACTAAATGCCTGAAGGCACTCGATTTATTGAAAGTCGTGTCTAATTCAAGGTGGGGAGGGGATCAAGCTACGCTACTACACCTTTACAGATCACTTGTCCGCTCGAAGCTTGATTATGGCTCCATCGTATATGGTGGAGCCTGCAAAAGCAACTTAAAACTTCTTGATTCTGTCCACCACCAAGGTCTAAGACTTTGTCTTGGGTCCTTTAGAACCTCTCCTATTGATAGTCTCTATGTTGAAGCAGATGAGCCTTCTCTTACACAACGTCGGATAAAATTATCCTTACAATACGTTACTAAACTATATTCTAGCGATTCTAACCCTGCATTTAACTGTGTCTTTAATCCCCTCTATGAGGATTTATACAACAAAAAACCTTCTCTTGTTCCGCCTCTTGGGCACAGAATTAAACCATTCCTTTCTGCTGCCGGCATTGAGCTGGAAAATATAGCTCCTTCCCGTCTTCTTTTTTCTCCTCCTTGGCAATTGGTGAGGCCAGAAGTTGACTTAACATTAACCACATTTAAAAAATCAGAAACTAATGATTTACAGTATAAACAAGAATTTAGTCAATTAAGAAATAAATATAATACCTATAAATCCTTATATACAGATTGATCCAAGGATGGTGGCGCGGTTGCTTGTGCCACTGTCATTGGGTCCAAAACAATATCTTCCAGACTACCCAATGACAGTTCAATTTTCACAGCAGAAGCAAACGCAATACTAACAGCTCTGAAATATGTTAATAAACACCGTAAATATAAAAAATATATCATCTTTTCAGATTCTCTTTCGTGTCTTCAGGCTATTAAAAATCTTTCTTGCAAACATCCACTTTTAATTGAAATAATTGAATTGTACAATGAACTTGCTACTGGCCAATGCGACATCGTCTTTTGTTGGTTACCCAGCCATGTTGGCATTTCTGGGAACACAATGGCTGATATTGCTGCTAAGGCAGCACTCAACAAATCTGTGACACCACTTCTGATCCCATACTCTGATTACAAAGCTGCTATAAGATCTTATATCCGTGATCTGATGCAAAAGAAGTGGGACACCCAAGTAGGTATCAATAAATTACATGCAATAAAACCCTATATCGGTTACACTTACTTGGATTGTCAGTCCAGATTTGAAGAGGTCATTATGCGACGATGTCGTATTGGCCACACTAGATATACGCATGAGTACCTATTAAAAGGTGAGGATCCTCCGTTTTGTATCCCTTGTGATGAACGAATCACAGTCAAACATTTCTTGCTTGACTGCGTTGAGTACTCCATCACAAGGGATATCTATTTCAAATCCCGAACTATGAAGGATCTTTTTACTAATATAAGTCCTCATTTAATTATTGCTTTTTTGAAAGAATTAAATTTGTTAACAGATTTGTAAATAGCTAAATATTTTATGATTGGAAGTTTGAATTAGTAACATGGATTGTTAGTGGCTGTATCCTCGAGGGGGGTTAAAGTACTGTAAAATTATTGTCCTCCTGAGAGGGTACGTAAGTCCCAAAACATTCAAAGTAAATTTCAACTTTCCGTTTTTTAATCGTAGAATATTTGTAATTTTAATGTATGGCTAGATATGTCTTAATTGCTAACGGCTGAGGGGATGATATAAATCCAGCTAGGGCCCATGCAGGTAGCAAATGTACTGTAAGTCCCCATGGTCCCTAGTATGGTGATCTACCTTCAGTTGTTAGCGATCTATAGCCCATTTTTAGATTGTGTTGTCCCCTATGGTTAAAATGTTTTAGATTCAATTACTAGTTTTACATATCTATATCTGTGATACTCTAGTTGCTTTACTGTCCTTCGATGACAGGTTTTATAATATATACATATTCCATTACAATGTAAAATGTTCTCGTCACGATATGGCTGAAATATTGCCGATGTGACGTTAAATATTAACTCACTCACTCACTCACTCCTACGTAGGAGATAGTATGTCCTACGTAGGAGATACTTAGTCCTACGTAGGCGATACTAACTCCTACGTAGGTGATACTAAGTCCTACGTAGGAGTTAGTATGTCCTACGTAGGAGATACTAAGTCCTACGTAGGAGATAGTATGTCCTACGTAGGAGATACTAAGTCCTACGTAGGAGATAGTTAGTCCTACGTAGGAGATACTAAGTCCTAAGTAGGAGATAGTGACCCCCCAAAAAATTTTCACCGTGGCCCTACTACGCTTCCGTACATTTGAGATTGTTTTTGTGATTTGTATAAATCTGTGCTGTTAAGTTTTCTTGTAAACTAATACCTTCTAACTTATCTTTGATAGTTTTTAAGTAATTCATAAAGGTAGGAGGATAACGTTTCTTTTGACGTTTAGTGTACCTTTTAATCGCAGTATTTTTGTTATTTTAATTTCGGCTAAGTCTTCCTACCATCGCCAGCAGCTGAAGGGATGGCGTAAATCCAACTAGGGTCCATGCAGGTAGCAAAAGTAATGTAAGTCCTTCAGTTGTTGGCGATCTATAGCCCCTGTTTTATATTGTATTGTCTTCTTCAATTAAGATGTTTTAGATTCACATGCCAGTTTCATATTCAAATCTGTGATACTCTAGTATTTTTACTGTCCGTCGTCGACAGGTTTTACTCTTCAAAATGTTTTTACTTTTTATTGTATAAATTGTTTTCGTCACGACATGGCGGAGATATTGTCGATGTGACGTTATATATTAACTCATTCACTCACTCTTTACTCACACAAATGTCACCATATATAAATGTAACTGGCAAATATGTGTTAAGTGAACATCTGTGGATAATTTCATCTGAAAATGTCCAATTAACAACAACATCAGTGATGCAACAACGACATCAAACAAAGGAAAGGGTCACTTGCAGTCAATATATTGTGTGTCCACCTAGCGCTGCAAGACATGCTCGCAGTCTCCGGGCCATTGAAAGACACACATTTCTCAGTAACAGCTGTGGGATGGTCTGCCAGTGATGTTGAAGGACATGTGTCAGCAACTGTCCTTGGTGGGACAAGTTGATTTCGAGATCGCCGTCCAAGTTCATCCCACAGCTCTTTGGAACCGATTTCGCAAGTGTGAAACTCGGATATTGCAGTCCTGTCGAACTGCCGTCACAGGTGGTGCACCAGGTTGCCGACGATCAGCAACACTTCCGGTGGCCCGAAACCTTGTCTGAGTCGACCAACAGTGGATGGATGCACATTAAAGTGACTGGCAATCATCACATCTGAAGCACCTCAGCTGACCATAACGACAGCCTGATTCCTATCGTCTTGTGTCAAGCGTGGCATTTTCTCAAAGTGATTGAGTTTCACAATTCCTTGTGCTTTTAAAAGGCATGGGTGCAGGTAATGCACATGCACAACGTGTTTCATGAATGTGGTTGTGTTTACCAGAAATGTCAAACGTTCAGTTTTAAGCATCGAAGTTCATGTGAGAGGAATGCTCGGGGACTCGAACTCGAAATGGGCCAGAATAACAGCCTTTTATCCCTACATCCTCTGTATCGCAAAAGAAAAACCTTTGTATACCTTTTGTAAGTTCCAGGACAACAAATAGCAATTGCGTTTTAAATAGCTTTCAGTATAAAACGTGGAAAAGCCCTGTTAATGCAGGCAGCAGAATTCCCCAAAGGTTCGAACTCAAACGACTGAAACATTGTTCAGCGTGGTATCGAGCTTTTTAAAAAGACTGTAGTTTTGTGTTTGAAGTTGAAGCCAACACTGGAGCTTTCATGTACCTCATGTACCTCACACTGGAAAAAAGTCCACATTTACAAGCTTTGAAATGTCTTGGAAAGACGATGTTTCCAAGACATTTCCAATTTTGGAAAGGGGATGTTTCCGGGAGATAACTGGTGGGTGATGGTAAATGATTGTTCTGTTCACGCCCCAAGACCTAATCCTCTGTTAATTGAAGAGTGAATCAAGGCAGTTAAGATTCACCAATTAACAAGGCGTACTGCCTATCAAGGCGTACTGGATGTCATTTTCTGTATTGTGACCTGATTTCCACCTGATGAAGGAGCATGCATACGCTCCGAAATGTCGTGTTATTCACAATAAAGAAGTTGACATCCATAAATCTTGCTTTTCTTATTTAAAAGGTAAGTTATTTAAAACTGCTGAGCTGTAGGTTGTTAAACATGTCGCGATGTGATTATCGTATTTACACCTGAGAGATTCGTCAACAGTGTGGTATGCACAGGCAGTGAAAGTTGTATTGTATTGAATTTGGTTGGTTGCATATTGTTTTGTGTTGAGCTGTCAGTTTGTATGAATGTGTGAATGAGGAACCTCGCATAATTATGACATTGAAATAACATTATTCCATGGTCAATGTCACAATGTTGGTGAAATTGTAGTATACGGAAGTTTGTTTCAGATTCTTTTTATAATCCCTTCTTTTATGCAGATAAAATAATTTAAAAATTAACGAATATTGCCATGCTTCTCTCAGAGGAGAGGTGAGGTGAGGTGAGGTGAGGTGAGGTGAGGTGAGGTGAGGTGAGGTGAGGTGAGGTGAGGCGAGGCGAGGCGAGGCGAGGCGAGGTGAGGTGAAATTGGGTTTAACGTCGTGCTTGAGAATATTTCGCTCATATGACGACGTGCATGCATGTGTATGTGTATGTGCGACTGCTTGTACTAGCCCAGACTGAAGCTGGTTTTATAGTGCTAGCCCACTGAGATACCATGCCGCAGTGAAGCAAGAATACCCCACTCAGACACATTGTACTGACTCCGAGCCGACCAGTCCCTTGTTGTACCCTTTTATGCCGAGCCCCAGGCAGGGACCAACAAGTACCATATTTTAACGTCTTTTGGTATGACGCAGTCGGGGATCGTACCCGCGACCTTCCGCTCTCCGGGCGGACGCTCTAACCACTACACTTCTCTCCGAGTGAGGGAAGATAATTTATGTAGTGTTTATTATCAAATTAGATATTTCTTTTTCGTCCGAACAGAATTCACAAATTACGTATGTTTGGTGTGGGTGTGTGTGCATACACTCATATATAACATCTAACTTTATAGGTATTAAAATCAGGCCGTTTGAAACCATAATGACTATATTTGGTTGGAACACTTGAAGAACGAAAATAATTTCACACCTCAAAAGGAACTGGAACAGTAACATTTTTCATGTCATCATATGAGCTTTTAAACATTGAATGAAATAAATGCTGTATGATGAAATGGATTAGAGAACATTACAATGGCATAAATGACGCTTTAATGACACATGTAATGACAATAAATATACAATCATTATGTTAGTTAACTTATGACCAGACACGTCAAACTGGTACCAATAGCTTAATGCCATCTAATTTGTAAACATTCAGTATTTCTTAGTACCTGAAATAGGATTACACAAATTTGGAATTAGTTTTAATCTGAGATCAATTTGTTAGGAAGCAGTTTACTAGTGTAGAAAGTCTTCAAAAGTTTGGTCATTCGCAAACTGAAGCAGACCTCACTTATACTGCAGTTAACAGTATGGAGATACATAACGAAACATACCACTTAAGTGATAACAACTCCCTGTTTATTGAATAGAGCGGCATTTCGATGTACATCGTTCAGGATAAACAAACTGATTGAATGTTGATTGTTGATTGATTCCATCACTTTGACAGTGGAGTGGATTTCGACTTTGTCATACTGAAGTTGATTTACAGCTAGAATCTGTCAATCAGCTGTTAAATCAGCATCCAATCAGCCTGTTTACAATTTGTTGATCTTACTCTCCTGCTGCCCCCATCCAACGATGTGCTACTTGGTAAATTATTTGTTAATTTGCTGATTGTCAATATGCATATATACTTCTATTCACCTGATTGTAGTAACATTTTTCTTGATAAAGGTGTGGGAATAAGTATGGAAACTCCCCTCTATGCATCAACAAGAAATTGGCATTTGTAAAGTCGTACTTTAAGAATGCGGTGTCCTCCCACTTTGCCAGTTTCATTGTCAAGCAATTAATTACAGTGAATGGTGCAACAAAGGGGATTAGTAGGGGATTAAAACTCACGTTAGTTTATACATATATAACTGATAGTCACATAATGTTTCTTTAACATTTTTATCATTTTAAGCAGATGATTAGAAAAAGATACATATATAACTTATAATCATGTAATGTCATTTTAATCAAATACAAACACAATACAAATCCCACTAAGTGGGATACAGCATAAGAAATGGATAATTGAAGCTACAAATTGTAAACACTTATTGACTAAAATTGTTTTGCATGTGGTGAACACTGTTCATGGCTCACCACGCTCAGAAACGGTTCACTCTCACTTAGCCAGTCTTCCTAAAAAAGTCTTGTTAAGACAACATTGCACTATGGCTAGGTGAGAGATGCGAACCAGGTACTTAGCATTAGCCACTGAAGCGTGAGCCTTTGTTCTAGGGCTGTAGTCTATATCTACAATGCGACACGATTGATGATGTATGCAAGTGTAAGTGTAGTTTAAACAATATTTGTTCTTGTACCACTAGTAGTGTACAGTGGGATGGACAAACAGTGTTTACCCTACATTAATGTCTCTCCCCAAACTTATGCATATTACAACAGTCCTTCAAAGATAAGATAATGTAGTGTTCAAGTTGAAGCATCCAAGTTTAATACGACAATGTAAAATTTGGTTATTTCTCAATCCATAGTTCTGCACAATTTCGTGTCCACTAGGCTGTCCCACCACCCAGTGTCACTAGAGAATTGGTCCAAACAGCAATAACTATGTGAGTGGAATTTGTAAGTGAAACAGTAAAAATGTTATCTTGTCGTACCCGTGTGGTATTAATTGGCACCGTTTATCACTGTTAAAAAGTGGGTGCTAACATACATATGGCTTGACTTAAGAACTGGTTCTTAACAAGCAGCAAAAAAAAAAAATACAACATGACTTTGGAACCGATTGTTCACTTTGTGAGTATGCTAGGATTTAGAAGTGGTTTCTAGCACTCAATGATGAGGCTGGTATTCAGAAGTGGATACTTGCACTCAATAAATGTGGTGTCCATGTATGTATGATATTACAGCCAAAGAAGCATCATTTGTTAACATTTTCAGCCACCATTTCTCTAAATTTTCTTAATACACTACAATTTTTTGCACCAAGCATATTTTTATTTACATTTTCTGTAAACGGTAATTCAGATAATATCATATCAATGTATCTCACTTTAATATAAGTTTAACTAATCTTACAAACTGAGCATTTCTCAAACATAACCATTTTGTTGATACAGACAATGGCTCAGCACACGTAATATGAAAAATGTAAAGAAATTCAAATAATTCCATACCAATGTGTCTCACTGATACAAAATTCAGGA